TGCAACAATTACAAATACAACAAATGGCGAATGCAAAGCGCGCTAGGAAAGATGAGCGATGAAGCTTCGCGTGGCGGCATAAAACCATTTAGGTTGTCAACAAAGAAATAAAAAATGTTATAGCTGTGCTAAAAAATGTGTTGTTGTTGTTGCTGTTGTTGCATTTTGTGCGAATTTTTCGCTGCAATTACAATTGCCGTTATTGGCAAGAGCCTTAAAACAGTTGTATTGCGCCAATGCGTTGCCAATTGCAGTACTCGCACATTCAATATGCGCCCGCACAACAAAGTGGACTTTATATATATATGTATACATACATATGTATGAACATATGTATGCACGAAACAGTGACCACAAACTAATACTTGCATATACATATGTATGTGCCGCCGCAGACGCCTCCTTTTTCATGTAACAACTCATAATTTTCTAGTTAATATTATATTTTTTCTATTTATACTTGTTGTTGTTGTCGTCCGATTTTGTGGCAGACAAAAGTCGTTCATTGTATGGGGTACGAATCAGCGTCATCATTGTCTTGAACGTCATATATTTTTTTTGGTGCCTACGATCGGTGATCTCGTCGTCATCGTCACAAGGCGAGGAGTGAAAAGTAAAGAGCAACAAAAAAAAAAAATAACAACAACAATTTCAAAGAGTGCTGCGGTGGCGAGCGGGTATCTATTTCATTGGACTGATGAAGAAAGCAACAACAAAAGCTACAAAAAAAAAATCAATAAACAAAAACTACAAAATAATAAAAGGCCAAACTCCATCTTCGGCTAATACCGTTAATAAACGAGGCTTAAGTTTTACTACAAAAGTCACAATATTCAGTTATGCACTGAATTTTCGAATAATACTGGGAAATCTTTACGAGCACGAGTTTTAATGTAAATTTTCTTAACTGAACAATCAGTGGTATGTGTGCCAGATATATATTATAGACGTACGATTTCAATGATTGAACGTGAATCAATATTTCACAGATAGTATCTTTACATCTGTATGTATGTAAAATACAAAATTATATATTTTTAAACGCTTTGATATGAAAATTTTGACTCGAAAACGCATTTTTGAATAATTTTTTGTATGTTGGCTATATGCTTTATTCGTCGGATTGCGCTGATTTTCACTTGAAATATTTAAAATACTTTAAGTAAGAAGTATATAAAATATCAGCGTTTTATCTTTTCAAATGCAAAAATTTCAATCAATAAACGCATTTTTGAAATAACATTTGTATGACAGCTACATGTTATAATCGCCTGATTATGTCAATTTTCACATTCAATACTTTACGTACCATATTAATGCGGTATACTATACTTTCATATAACCAGCTGCTTAAATACGCAAATTCTAACTCAAAAATGCATTTTTGAACAATCATTTGTATGGTAGTTACGTTTTATATTCGAGGGTTACGCTGATTTTCACTCGAAATATTAGACATACACGCAGCATTGAAAATTTCAGCATTGTAGCTACGAAAAACTTTAAGTTTTAACCAAAAACGCAATTTTGAAAAAAAAAATTATATAGAAGCTATGTGTTATACTCGGCAGATTTTGATGATTTTCATTTTCGAAATTCTACTTACTATATAAATCCAGAATATTAAATTTCATTTTATCAGCTGCAAAAGTATACAAGTTTTTAGCCAAAAACCCATTTTTGAACAAAATGTTATATGACAGTTATGTGCACAAGTAGAGCGATTTCGATGATTTTCACAATCGAAATTCATCTTATGGTATGTACGCAGTACACCGAATTTCATGTACATAACTGTGTAATTTAAGGAGTTATGATATAAAATAGCGTTTTTGAACCATCACTTGTATGGTAGCTACTTGTTATAATGACACGGCTTTGTTAATTTTCACATTCAATATACTATTTACCATAACAAAACAAAATATTAAATCTCACAGTGTAAACAGCAAAAATGTTCAAGTTTTCAACTAAAACATCATTTTTGAAAAATGCGTTGTACGAGCGCTATATGCAACTGTGGTGCGATTTCGTTGATTTTCGCTATCAAAACTCTATTTGTGATATGTACGCCGCACACCGAATTTCATGTACATAACTCTTTAATTTATGGAATTATGCGTCAAAATCGCATTTTTGAAAAATCTTTTGAATGGCAATTTTATGTAATTTTGAATTTAAGTTAGCTGGTTTCAAAAAGTAATTAATATATAAGAAAATTAATTGCATATACAGAATTTCGTTGCAATATCTCAAAAATTGTATGCATTTTTTTTTCTTCAAAAGATAGACGGACAGCCTGCGTTCATCTCTCGTATGCTTAAAGGGTATAAAGAAGTTGCCAACTCAACTCAACCAGACTCATTGCTTTACAATTATCTTTATAATACATTGCGACATACATATTTACAATGACGGCAACGCGTCGAATATGCGCCTCCGCAGCCACACGGCGTCTTTAGAAGCGGCTGAAATCTCCAGCTCCAACTCCGATTTTGTTGGAAAATACAAAATTTAAGCATACTACATAAAACACTCGCTTGAGCGGGTGGCGATCTCAAGGAAAGAGGGATAAACCGTAGCGGGTGGCAGCGTCCGCTAGGCTAAAACTGTAATTTATACGTGTATGATTCAGCCAGCCCTCGTCTATGTACGAGTAGTTACTAGGCACCTCTTGCTAGCCACTTAGTTCGTTAATCAGTTGGTTAGGCGCATTGCGAAACTGCGCTGAGCTGAGTTGGGCTATAAAATTTCAAAATTTCTATTGCTAACTCAGCTAGAGCCAGTGAGCGCTCCGCACCGGCTCCAATCGAAATCGAATTCCACTTTTTGTGCAGACGTTCAACTGACTGACGGTGCAATATTGCATTTAACGGCGTCGAACTAGATTGCAGTGCAGTGATAGAGGCGTGTCCAACGAGCCGGCGACGAGCGAGTTTTTATTTGTTGTCTATGATGGCGTATGGCTTTTCCTACTTCAGGCTTACATACATGCAGACAATGGCCCACAGCTGATCGTTGTTGGATGTGTGTGGAAGATTTGGAAACAACAACAATTGCGCAATATTGGCTGATAATTTTTTATTGTCCTTTTTGTGGAGAAATTATATAGAAAATAGATTTGCGAGAGTGATAGGCCCACGACCATTGTGGTTGAGAGAAATAGACCCCGTGAGGAAAACTGTTGTATGTTATTAAAGAAAATTGATCTCAAATTCTTAAGAGTAAGAAAGTAAATTTTGTTATTGTAGAAACTCAAGGTATTAGACCAGGAAGAGCTCACATTGGAGATCAAATTTATATAGTAGTATTTTTGAAATCCGAAATTTTGAAAACCAAGTAGCTTTTCAGATCTCCTGTGGTATTACTTGTTATCTCAATACTTCTCTTTTTAATCTAACTCGAAGGTGAGTCCCAAAAATACATTTCCGGAACCCATTGAGTCACAGTCCTGCCGCGACGGAATTTCAGTCCTTTTGCTGACTTTTATTTTGTACAATTCAGGGCAAAGAGCTTTCCAGAACTACATTAACAGATTTGGACGTGAAAAAATGGTATCTCGACCAATATCTCAACGGTTTCTGTGAGGCAAGCCAACATATAGCCATGGGCCACTCATTCTGAGCTTTCTTACGAATTATAGCCAAATAAGTACCGGGTAACAGTCGGTTGCGAGTACTTTTTGGCCCCAAATGGACAGTGAAAGCGCCTTTCCAGCGCAACGGGAGTTCTGACTAGGCATCGTCCGATGAGCTTTCACGCAGTAAAGCCCCTTGCCCAGTGCACGTTGAAAGCCAATCCGAAGCGTAAGGCTGGCTCCGATTAACGCTAATCAAAGTTTGGCTATTTTTGGCGCGCTCACTTAAACTTTGTTGTTAGTTGTGCTTATAAAAACGTAAGAAAAAATTCATAAGTTGAAAAATATTTTGCATCAAGCCCCTGCACTACGAGGGAATTAACAATTTGTTTTTGATAAATCTAAAAATACCAAAGCCTTTGCAATTATTTTATTAGTCTTTTTTTCAAATTTTAGAGCGATCGGCTAAAAGGGAGACGAGAAAACACAAGATAGCTGAGGATAGTTCAGACGAAATTCCACCACCGACGCAAACAGAAATTCGCCATATGATTTTGTGCGGGTTTCGGCGTAATTTACATCCAATAAAAATATTCAGTGAATGCCAAATTTCATATGGAACGATTGCATCAACTTTAAAGATTATTTCTAAGAGGTTCCGAGGATTGCAGACCGGACATTTTTTTCCTAGAGGAGGAGCTCCGAGAAGGTCCATCAATATCTTGCACTGATGACGTCCAAACTCAACGAAGACCCACGATTGATGCAAGAAATGATTGCCATTGAACTGAGCTTGAATGCCATGGCTGTATCGCGAATGTTTAGTAATCATCTGCCATACACGAAGAATTCCGCGCGATGAGTATCATGAATTTTAAATGAGGCCCAAAAAAGGCTCAGATGCATTTGGTCAAATTTTTCCTAAACAAATTCCAAAATGGTCAGTCTGGCAACTTTAGTAGAGTCGTTAATGGTAACGAATCTTGGCTCTATAAGTATACCGTATAGAGGTCTAAAGCTTATACTATCTCCGAGCCCCCACTGCCATAGTTGTCTGTATGAAAAATGATTTGCTAATTTTTGGCATGCGCTAAGTGGTTCACTGAAGAGCGCTCTGGTGTTGAAGTGCTGTTAAGTGTTCAGTATGATATTTACTCTTTATGGCATCACAACGGACGGGTTTGTGTCTATGCTAGATTCTCTTAAGATCAGCATCAAATCACAATTACCCCCAATGTCTTCGTTTCATATAAAACTGTTCCAAGTCGAAATTTCTATGACTATACATTACTTCAATTGATTCAACATATTTCACACCCCGAAGTCTAAAGCTGGAGTTTTTGCTATCTTCAGCTTAACTCGCCTTCATATATTTCCCAGAAATGTAAATTCAGACCGTTAAATCTCAAATGCAATCACTCACCTCCGACGACTTCAATTCCGCATATCGAGCAAGGATGTTGCACAAAAACACATCCTTCAACTTTAACGCCAGCAAAATCCCCTACGACTCAGCGCTGCCAGGCAACAACAACAATGTGTGTTTATAGCTGCAAAAAAGGATTAAGAGCAACGTGAATATAGATAAAATTCAATTTAATTATAAATTCAAAACAATTACATAAATACATACAAACCAATTTACTTTTGGGAAAAAGGATAATATTTTATGGCAGCTTAAAACAAAATAAAAGTCAATAGTCAATCAGCTTAAGGAGAGAAGTTATTCAATGAATATTTCAACTAATTTCCGGTGGCAAATTTGATCAATTTTATAAAGGTAAAACACAATATATGCGATAATATATGTATGTAGAAGAGTTGAGGATATGAGTAATAGTGTTAGGAAAAACAGGAAATTGAATTTGATAGATAACTGGGTTCGCATCCAAAAGGTGTTCCGCTGTGTGCTTGTTTATATGTAAATTATTATTAAGCTCGCACTAGTACAATCTATCTATACATTATATAATATAGGGTTATACATTTCGTAATTTCAGTCATCTGACAACTTTAACGATCAAACCATATATGTTTTCGTTTGAGTTAAAAGTCAGGCATTTATGAAATTGAATCGCTCAACAACCGTTGTTAAAACCCACTACAAAAATGGTGATTTCAACGCTATCCAAGTCGGGATTATATTGCCCATAATCGTCTGGCTACTCAAGTACAATTTTAAATAAATTTTTAGAGACTAAATCGGATAGAAATTTCGTAAGACCATAATCATTTTGCTCTCTACACCTCAAGAGTCGCTACTGTACGTGAAAGTGAGGCCGAAGCCCCGAATGTGTCTATTTCTCGACGATCTCAAGAACTGGTACTTTCTTACGGCACATTATGGCGTATTTCGCACGTCAGTCCAGCTCGTACAACAACTGAAGCCAGCCGACTTTTCACAACGCCGAATATATGACGTTTTCTGCTTGAACAACCAGCAGTGACGGCGATTTTTGAAACAAAGCTTTCTTCAGCACATTCCTCACACGGGATATAAATAAATAAAGAAAATTGTCGCAATTGGAGCTACGCGATACTTTACATAACGAGAGAGTGGTCATTACACAAAGAAAAATATATTGTCTTGTGCGCTCTTTTGTCCGCAGGTGTGATTGAAACTTACTTCTTTGAAAACGACAACGGCGAGACTGTCCTTCTCAATGCGGAGCGTCATGATCGTATGATAACCGTACTTTTTTTTGGCCTGCAATCGAGGAATGTGACCTGGCCAATATGTGGTTTCAACAACGTGATCTCACATGCCACACAACACGAGTGAATATGGCTTTATTGCGAGAGAAGATTGCCGGCTGCGTAATCTCTTGTCTTCGTGATGCTAATTGGCCATCGAGGTCGAATGATTTCACACCGTGGGTCCATTTTTTATGGGACTACGTGAAAGACTACGGATAAAAATTTAACCTTGAGCACTTAAGAAGCAACATTCGTCAAGGTTTGGCTGAGATACCGTCCTTTATGGGCCGAACAGTGGTCGAAATTTATCTCAAACGGGTTAATTCTAATTAGAAAAAAAATTTAATAGAACAATAAAAAGCCATATCTACCAATGGTCGGGTTTGGTAGTTAAAATAATAGAGATAAAAAAGAAATAAATTTAATTGAAGGAAATTTAAAAATGTAATCAAAAAAATATAATAATTAAAAATTTTCAAAATCAAAATTTTTATATAAAAAAAATATTTTTAAAATAAAAGTTTTTCAGCGGATCACAAACCTGTTTAATTTAATTTAATTTTTATTTTTTTTAATTTTTTTTTTAATTTTTTTATTTATCCTTTGTTTAGTTTAATAAAAATTACATTTGTACATATGTACTCCCACTTCCTACTGCATTCCCCATTTATTATTATATTTATTTTGCTAGCCGCGGCACATCTACTTTGGCTATTCATTAAAACAACAACAGTTCAGTATGTATTTTTTTTTAATTACTGTTAGCTTTGTTAACAATTTATTTTAGTACTAGAGTTGGCTTCACTACTCGTTCATATGTATATGTGTACTACTCGTAGTTGTTGTTATTGTGACACTTGCTTGAGCTACTTTATGTCACTACTCACTCTATTTATGTCTAGTTTACAATTAAAAAAGAGCGGCGACTACTCGAGAGCTTCTAGCGCTGACACTTGTGATTGGCTGAGCTGTTTTGGTGTGTGTGTGTGTGTGTGTATGTGGATATGTAATGGATAAGTATCCAATCAGATTGTTGTAAATATGAGATGCTTTTAAGATAACATTTGTACGTATAAATGTACGTAGACGAATCTATAACTGCATTTTGTTAAGATTTTGAAAAAAAAGGTGTTTTTTTATGTATTTTCGCTACAATGCGTTAGCAATCTGATGGTTAGTTAAGGTTGACCGGAAGTTACAGTGAAGGAAGTCAACTCGATATAAATTAAAATTGCTAATAGAAAATATATATGTATGTATATGAATATATGTATATACATGTATATTTATATCATGATTATTTAATATTTATATATGTGCTCGCATGCCCTAAATGTTCTAAGCTCAATCGAGTGTCTATCGAAACAATAACGAGTCGATTAATAACTGCCTCTTCTTCATGAATGCCATAGGCACCACTAGCTCAATTATTGCTGAGTCCACAATAATTCGCTATTCGTTTCCAATTCGCCTTTTGGCACAAATCGGGGACACAAAGCTAAGACCAGAACCTGATCTTTAAATCTGAATGAAGAGTTCCGTTTTCAAATATTCCAGCGGAGCGTACTGTGTCGAAAACTTTCCAAGCTGGAATGTTGTCGATCATACGAAACACGCCCAAGCCTCTGCAAAAAACAACAGGATAGGAGTGACGTTCCTCATTTGTCGTGCTACTTTTCAATTACCAGTCCATAGTAGCACCCGTTGGCAAGAATGATTCTGCGTTGGAGCTCAAGGTTGAAAGACTTGTTGGGATTAATGCTGGATCTTCGATATACAAAATTATCTATAGTTACAGAAGCGCCGTGTGAGCCAAGATCATGTGCGCTGACAGTTGGTTTGATGACAGGAGATACGTCACCGTCTCGCTTTCTTCCTCGCAGAAGTTATGGTTGATGAGCAGTAGTACGCTCTTCTAGATCAATGTGCCTCCTCTGTTCAGCTCCGCATATTTTTTGTTCGCCAGCGAAGTTAAAGGGATCATTCGGTATATAAACACCTTGTCGGAGACCTCGCTAAGTATTGAACAGCTCGACACGGTCTATCCTAATTCTGATAGAGCTTTTAGTGATATTTTGCATGTGAGAACGCCAAACTCAGACTTAGCTGCAGCTCGTGCTATTGAAGGCTACTTTAAAATCAAAGAATAGTGTGGATCCATCTATGTATGTCTCACGAGTGGCTTTTGAAATGGTCCAATCAGTTCGTTTACATAGTACGCCCCTCGATAGGATCTTGCGAAGAAGCTCCAGCATGCACTTTTCTAGTTTTTTGTCACCCTTTTTGTGCTACCCCACTTAACCCAACTTTTGCGAAGATTTCGATCTATTTTAAATAAAATTAATTAATGCCTTCCAACCATGTGTGCTCATCTCCGTAAGATTGGAGGGCACCGTGAAAGATGTGATGTCTCAATCGGCTGAAGGGTGGACACTCGTAAAGGTAAAGTTCTGGCGTTTCGTCATCTTCTGTGTGTGCTGTGCACTAAGCCGATTCCAAATTACCTAGCTTATGGAGATGATATCTCAGAGCCGAATGCGCCGTCAATGCACCCAAAAGAATACTAAGTTCTCTTTTGCTTAATGCAAGTAAAAGTTTGGCCTGCCTACAATCCACTCTGTTACACAAAAACTTGGTGACACGTTCTACACTTTTGGAAGTCATAAGTACTCCTCCATGGTCCGCTGCATTCGAAAACATGTGAACGCACTGAAAGGTTTGTGGCAGTCCCCTCAACTTCATCAGCGTGAACGTGAACGTTAATCCGCCTTTTCATAGCCGATGAAAATATCCAAGTATCGCGATACACAAGTGACATTCGTTGCGTCTCCACGCGATAGTCTGTTTTATGACTCTTTGCAAATTTTTTTCACTTATCAGGACTTTGCGCCATTGCCTTAATTACCACTTGACTGTCTAACAAAAATCGGATAGATCTTCTTGTCCAAGTGACTTGTCTAATACCCACACTTTCTGCTTGAAAGACAGAGTTGTAGTTATTGACCATGAAGTTACCGCTGTTATTGGGGCGGTCGTAGAAGAACTCGGCTTCTGTGCCTGCCTTGCACTTAGGTCAATGATTATAGGTATGGCTATTTTCCTCGCTAGGAAAGGAGTAGGTGGTATCTACCCGACAGCAGGCTTTCGTTTCTCGGTTGAACTTTAAGTCCAGCCCAAGTTTTGATATGATTTTTTGAATGCGGTCATGTCTTTCTCAATTTGGGGGTTACAAAGGAGCTTCCTTTTTAATGTCGCTCACCACGCTAGTACTCTATGTGTTAGTAAAGATTTTACGACTTTTGTGTAAGACCAGTGAACTATGTGAGGTCGTGACTCACTGCAAAGTTTCATCAGCAGATATTCCAAATTTGGGGCGTTTTACTGACCATACTTTCAACATGTGCCAGGGATTTCACCGAGTAAGATGTTGGTTTGAATTGTTGAACTTTCGTCTTTCTGATAAAGAAATAGATCTCTGATTTTTACTTATAATGAGACTCCTTGTCGCCCTCCTATTACCCTTGATATTCATTTGGGGTGTTTGCCAGAAACTTTAAGCTCTCTGCTATAAGCTCTAAGTTGAAGTACCTGATTCATCAAAGCGATCCCCTTGTGACGTGCCAATTTTTCATGAATATAATAAAATACAATTTATACCACTTTATATTTTATAACTAAATTAAAAATCTTTTAATGATTTACCAGCATTTTTAATGCAATAACAAAAATCTCAAATTGGCTTATTAACAAATTTTGACTTTTACATTTTCCTCAATTAAGTAAAACCGAGAATTAGTTCAAGCTATGCGCCAGCACTAAATAATAATTTTTTTTTATACATCAATAGACATTC